ATTTCTGAACACGTTTGAAACAATCGAGATATAAAATTCATTTAATATTTTTATCTTTCTATTCACTGTTTGACTTTATTAAGATAAAGGTGACTTTAATCATGTTGGGATTTTCTGATATTTTCAATCAAACAAAATTCAGATTTTTCGCAATGTGGAAAAATCTGCGTCACTTCTGTTTGATGTTACAGAGGAGGAGAGGTCAAAGTCAGAGACGCGTCTCCTGTGACTGCAGCAGCTTCCTCATCAATTAGTCAAGGCCTGCAACTTGTGTCCGATTACCCAACGCACAAATAACCCGGCTGCACTCGAGGAGCGCCTATGGCGTGTCCTCACAGCCCCATCGGAGCCTCGGACCTCCCTTCCATCCTCCAGAACCAAATCTGTGACACCTGGAATTAACAATGATCTTCCCTGACCTCTGACCTCACATGGGGAACAGAAAGCAGACAGAGAGTGGTCTCCTTGTGTTTTCTTAACCACATCCTGCAAACTGAACTGGTTGCAAACCACTACGGGATCTGAGGTGAACTTACGCTTACCAGATGCCATTAATAACAAATTAATACATTTCATATAAACTAGTGAATCTGAATTATATTTCTTCATTTTTCGGTATTATGTAATTATTCTTTTTAAAGTCTCCCACTTTTACTCCCCTTTTTTTTGACCCATGTTTGAACCCTCCCTTTTTCTCATAGTACCACCAGAGGAAAAGCTCTGACACAACTCCAAAGGCGTTTGTGTTTCCTCCTGGTCCTGCATTATTGCCAAACTCACCTCTGGGATTCCTAAAATCTGCTCTCTGAACAACCTACTGCTTCAATTAAATAAGCATAAATTAAATTATCCACTTTGCGAGTATCTGTGAAAAGAAAAAGCCTCTGTGTTGTCTGAGGAGGGCTTCAGCAGTCAAGCTTCCTAACTGGCTGTGAGAAAGTTGTGCATTATATTCTGTAAGACTGAGCTGATCTGTGTTTTCTTGGCGTTACTCACATTCCTGTCGCGCCTTTGGGTGTGTGCACTGCATGGTAGGATGAACTTAAGATCCTGGATTCACAGACACGCAAATGTCACAGCAAACATGCCAGAACTGACATGATTAGTAGTTTCAGTCTGAGCAGAGGCAATACCCTTGCACTGAGTGTTTTTTTTAAATAAAAACAGCTCGCCTCACATTATTTAGAGCTGAGCGAAAGTCAGCTGAATTCTTCTGTATTAGGGTGAGTTAAGGCTGATGGAGTCGAACACAGGAGCATTTGTCAGCTGAAATTAGGAAATGACTGGCTGAGGTGTGACGCAAGAGGGCCTTAACAGAACAAACCAACGCATGTCATCAACCTTAATGTCTGCAGCGGGTCTATCGGGGAAAATGGTCATTTCCATCTGAATCCTTGACACCTCTTCAGAGACAAAGAGGTAAAAAGGCTTTATGGAGGCTAATTGGGTGTCCTGCTTGCTAAGTTCATCTGGTAGCAAAACAAGTAGTTTTAAGGGAGCTTAAGAGCCATGGACC